GAGGCTGCTGTTGATTTCTTTGCCATTTCGTCATAACAAAGCCAATTGTGTTGGCCAGAATTGAAACAGTACAAGATTTTCCATTGGATTTTCAAATTTGCGAATGCGATTAGCAGTCTGAATGAAAATGCCAAAGAAAATGAGTTTGGAAAAGCCACAAATACACACAAGCACACACGCACACACGCACACACGCAGACACTTTAAAGTGTTGTTCTGTCCCGTGTGGCTGTCAGCAAGAAGTACGTAATGGAATGGAAGAGCTCCCAAATTCAACAGGAAGCCAATCGAGTTGCCACTTTGGCAACGTTTCGTATGCAAATTCACCAATACACACACACACACACACACACAAAGAGAGAGCTTGAGATACAGATACACTTCAGGTAACAATCAAAGCATTTCACAGTCAAGTATTTTTGTATTTTTTTTTTTCGAGTGGTTTACCACAGCATTTGGCATTGTTTGTGTTGCACTTGTGCCACAGTGCCTGAGTCGGGGCTTCAATTTTTGGATTTCGCCTGCTTTTAGTGAGTCGGAACTAATCCAAAATGTTGACTCACTTGAGGTGCGAATGAGTGCCAATTGCAATTATTTAATAACATCTTTAATTCTTACATATAGTTATATAATAATTATATTATTATTTGGTGTATATATCTCATGCAGTTCCTTTATTTCCAAAACCCCCGAGAATGAGTCCCAATTGCAATTATCTACTAACACCTTTATTTAATTCTTACAATATTTATCTTCTTTATTAAATATTTACAATAATTATACGTTAATAAATTCTACAAATTTTCCTCATCTTTTTGAATATCTGGTGTATATATCTCAAGGAGCTCCATAGTTATTGCTGTTTTTTTCTTTTCCAAAGCCCTTTGGAATGAGTGCCGATCGCAATTATCTAACGTTAAAGACGAATTGAATTCTTACAGTGCTTATAATTTAATAGACTCTAAAATTTTCCTTTTGCTTTCCAGTGTCTCAGGAAACACGATGTTTATTGCTGTTCTTTTTTCCCAAAACTCTTTCGGCTTCCGAAAAATAGTTTTTCCTACGATTGAGCTCCATGGAGAAGTCCGATTTCTTGGCCACTAACATGTTCGTGAGGAATGCCCGCTTCTCAGCACATCGTGTTTGTCGCGTCGAGTCGGCAGGCCTCTCGCGCTTGCGTTCCCTATGCGTCGAACTTGTTGGCGTTGGAGTGGGCGTTACAGTGGGCGTTACGTTGGGCGTTACGGTGGGCGTTATGGTGGGCGTTACAGTGGGCGTGTGCTTCTTTTGTTTTATAATAAAGTGCTTGGCATTCTCAAGGAAATGCTCAGCGTCGCGCAAGCGCCTGTTTAACTTATCGCGTTTCTCGCGCGGCATCCTCGGCGCATTCTTGTCCAGCTGATCGAGTTTGGTATAGATATTGTGCAAGTCTAGAAATATTTCCGCTACATCGTCACCCATCACCTTGGAGTGGTGTATGTAGGTGTTGAGCGTCTTCTTCATGTCCCGCACCTCCTCGGTCAGCCGCTCGTACGCATGCAAGTCACAGAGCACCTTGGGCACCGCAAACCTCAATACATTCTCCACATCCTCAAAGCGGCACATATCCTGCATCTGTAGCAGTGTCTTCCTCGCAATGCGCTCCACCTCTGCCGCATTCGTATTGCCGTTGCTCGGACGCACCGAGTCCATGATGCTGAACAGGCCTTTGTTTTGCACGCCCGCCGGATCCTGCAGGAGCATGTGTGTTCGGTCTACCCCAAAGCAGGTAATCGACGTGGAGAGCTTATTCATTTTCAGCAACAATTAGGAATTTGATTTTTTTTCAGCTTTTCTATAAATATAAACGAGAATTTTGAAACTTTGTGCTGTAGTTCTAGTTCATATCTGTCAGAACTATGCCTCTTTCTACATTTGCAATATGTGTTGTGTGCTTAGGAAAAGGTTACTATAAAATGCCGTTGCTCTATACAATCAGAGACGTTGAGACATAAGAGATCCCTTATTTTTTAGCTGTCAAGAATTAAGGAAGATTGATAGATAAATGTTGTTTAATTATTACTGAAATATTATTTAAGTATATATTAATTATGATTGAGCTCAATATGTGTGGCATGTTGTTGATGCTCTAATTATATGTTCTAATAATATATATTATATTTAAAAATATATTTTATATAATTTTTTTTTTTAATTATAATATATTTATTATTGGTAACTTGCATTCACAAAAATAGTCTATTTTTATTGTGCAACGTCTATATTGGTAACCTTATGAAGCTAAGACATTTCATTATAAGAGATTTTAAATTTTGAATATATTTTCGTCGGTTCCCTTGTCTTTATGATTATCTGGTATACAAATAACGCTTTTAACTAAGGTGGAACGCGCTAGAACCTAAGAATGTATGTTGATACGATCATTGGGAACGTGTTGAGGCAGGTAACTTTATGTTTTCTGAAAAGTTTTGGCCTGGAACAAAAAAAAAATCAGATATCAGCTCAGCTCACTCAGATATCAGCTTGAGATTGACAGAATATAATTGGGTTGCTCTTCGACCCTGAACGGGTTCACTATATAGTGGACTATGACCAACTATAACAATCTCGCCTAACTTCATTTTCATTATCTCTATTATTTATACTTTCATTAAAATTTGTTTACGGCAATTCGCACGACTTACTTCCCAGGCAATAAATAAAATTTGAAAAAATTATATTTTCTTTTTGCCCCAAGAGAAATTCCACTTTTTCCACTCGACTTGAATGCAGCTTGTGCCCGTGGCTCAAATATATGTGTGTTTCTATAATTATATGAAGCTCATAAAAATCGCACAAGCTGCGCTCTTTATTAACGACAGACTTTATTGCACTGGCATAGCTGAAATTCCCAGGAAACGGAAAATATGTTTGTCGCCTGCATATATTTCCATTTTTACCTCCTTCTTTTTATTTTTTGCATTTGGTACAGCCGTCTAAAGGAATTTTGCGTATTTGCTATGGCCACGAGCGCTAAATCAATTGACAAAGCAGAGAACTGCGCACTATTTCCTGCCAGCTCAATGCCGTGGCTCGAACATATTTCGTAGAATTTTTATGAGCCATGCAAAAAAAAAGAAAAGGAAAACAAAAATAAAACAAGTAAGAAGACTCTAGTCGAGACTGCTCGACTAGGAGATACCCTGAACCCT